ACCCTTAACCCACATCGAGCCCGAATCCCCCAGCACCTACACCCCTGACCAAGTGGTACCGACGCACCAGTCCCCCCACCCCCCCAACATTCCCAGATACCCCTCACCAAGTGGTTATAGGCCAAGTAACCCCTCCTCCCACATTCCCACATACCCTCAGTGAACCCATGTTACCCCTCCTCCCACATTCCCAGACACCCCTCAGTAAACCCATGTTACCCCCAATTGAGGCCATATACCCCCCCCCAACATTCCCAGATACCCCTCCTCCCACATTCCCACATACCCCTCAGTAAACCCATGTTACCCCTCCCCAGACATTCCCGCACCTCCCCCCCCGCACGCAAACGCAACTTACCCTCGTCACCACGAAATTGAAAAATTCTCATAAAATACATGAAATTGCAATCATGAAACAGAAGCCTGAGTTGAAGACAGTAGAACAAACTGAAATACACAAACACAAAAGCCACAGTAAGAAAAAAAGTGAACAATGAAAGTACCAAGTGAGGCCAGCATGATCATCAACACACACAAGTAAGTACACAGGCACACAACACAGCACAAGACAACAGGTAAGTTCGCCAATTAAAATAATCACAACAATAGTTATCGTTTTTCCCTCCTGCTGCTTCTTTTCCAGTCCTGTGTGATCAGCACCCAATCTGACGTCTGGCACCACAACCACGTCAGTCTTCCAGCCGTGCCGCTTCAATCATCAGAGTGCAACTCTTACTTAGTCACGTCTGTGCCTGCCACGTGTCACCCCTGGCATGCCAACTCAACAACTTGTAGAGTATGCCACATCAGCATGTCCAGTCCAATCAAGGTCAGCAATGGGGTGCACGTAAGCAATGTGCGTCGATGTCGTCGTCAAAGTCACGTTCCTGCCTGCCATGTATATCCCCTGGTGTGCCAACACAGCAGCACCTTGTGTCTGCCACATCAGCATGATCATCCAGTCAGCATCATCAGTAGGATACACATCAGAAACGGTACCAGCGTGTACAACGCCACGTCAGCCAGGTAACGGTGTGCCACGTCAAACAATGCCACGTCAGCCTTATGCTTCTCACCATAGTAAACGAGTGGGGAGTCAGCAATGCCACACAGCACACCTCGACGATCACTGGCCACGTCAGCTGGACTCTCCTCTGTCGAAATACCAATGCCACGTCAGACCTGACGTGAGCTGTCCTGGAGTTGTCCACGTCAGCTCCTCTGTCCAATGAAAACGTCACCACCTGATCACGCATACGTCAGTGGTTGCCGGAACAACGATGTCTCACCAGTCTAGAATCGCGTCTATAGACGCGTGCGACGTCAGTCGCGACGAGCACTGCGTCCCACTCACCTGCCACCTGACGCATGCGTGAGTCTTTGTCGTCGTCGTCGTCGTTGATCGATCTCATACGCGGGAGTTATGCTCCGATACCAAATTGCAATGAACCCAGATCGTGAAGACAGTCGTCAACCAAGTCCAGATATATGTCAACCAGCTGATGATTGTCAATAATCATATTCGTGTCCAGATACAAAGAGATGGAAAGACATACACATACGAAGTAGATAGGAGGGAGGAGAGACTTAGAGTGGGGGGAGATAGACACAATGCCCACTTCTTCTTCGGGCTCCATCCTCGATCACCACCTCAATAATCAATAATCTGGACGAGTATCTGAAGCAACCTCAACGTGCGACGTGGCACCTCAATCAGTCCTGATCAGCACTGGAGCAATGTCGACATCGAGACAACCAGGTACGTATCCGCTATCGCTCCACAGTCATGATCTCCTCCCGAGTGACAATAAATCAGAACAGCAATGCCAGGTACGTAGTCCTGCCACGTCAGCAATCAATAACATATGTGGCAGCGGCCACGTCAGCAGCGGCGCGTGGCAGCTGCCACGTCAGCATGCCCATAAGACAGTTGCAAGCTGGCTACCATGTCGAGCCAGCAGAGCGCCGCCGTCATCTACTCAAGTGCCAGTATAAAGCCAGCGTCCAGCCAGCATCGCCGCGTCGAGCCGGCGTCGTCGTCAACGTGTGAACTCAGCATTGACGCAAGACAGAATGAATGTCAAAGCCAGGAAGTCAGCGCTTATGTAGCGTTGATGTGGGGTCTGGACCCCGGATGCTGCATCCCTCAGCCGTCCAGATCTCCATGCGAATGAGGGCCCAGATTGGCCTGAAACCGAATTCCCTCCGGCCTGGATGCTGTCTGGGTACCTGCGCAGAACAAGTGAGTGTATACGACCAAGGGCCTGGGCGCGGTACTTTTGACCTGACTGTTGACTTAGACTTTAGACTTTTCCAGGGCAGCGCATGGTCACACTGCCGGGTGACTGCCCTACACAGGCCGAGTTCGGCTTGTGTCGTCTGGGCTTGTTTTCGAGGCCCAGACTGCTGCAGAACATGGGTTACTGCACTATTGGCAAATGGTTACCGGGGTCGTTTGGGAGTGATCACAGTAAGTGTTTTTGGTATGAATGTATTTGGGCACCTACTCTTCGGGTCTCTTTTGCATTTTGGCGGTTTTTGGGACCTTTAGTTCTCTCCCACTTTGAGTATCATAGGGTATGCAAGCTCAGACGATGGCTCTATGTACATTGCGATGATGGTGCTTCAGGCTGAGATACATGCTTTGAGTGACAGGGCTAGCGGCGGCACATTTGCCTCGTTTTGCTGCTGTTGTTTTGTTGTGTTGTTCTGATTGTTCAGGTATTTTGCTTTGGAGTCATCCCATTGGTGCAACGTGCCGTTGCTCGCCGTCCGATCTCACACAGGTGATTTGGAGGGGCACCTGCGGGTCGCAGGTGCTGCCTCCCGGATGGCATGCTATTGTGCTCGGACGTGATGAGATAAAGGTGGAGGCCATCGTCGTCGCTGCTGCCATTGTCCTTGCCACCGCCGCCGCCGCAGCTTTCGTCCTGGCGACATCGCCTTCGCCATGGCCGTCGCCTAGGTCTTTGCGTCATCACCTTTGCGGCCGCCGCCTTCGTCCTCGCCGCCGCCTTAGTCCTCGCTGCCGCCTTCAAAAAAACTGGATGAAGACTAGAAGCTTCTCCAGATGTTTTTCTCAAAGCTCGAAGATAAAAAAGATTGAAATTATTATTTGCTTCGTCCTCGCAGCTGCCGTCATTCTTGCCGCCACCATTGTTCTCGCCCCCGTCATTGCCGTCGCCACTGCCGCCTTCGTCCTTGCCGCACCCGTCATTCTCGCCGCCGCCATTGTTCTCACCTTCGTCATTGCCTTCGCCACTGGAGCACTGCCGCCTTTGTCCTCACAGCCGTCATGTACTGCTTGGCCGACGAGGACGAAGGCGATGGCCGGGGTGACGGCAAAGGCAGCGGCGGCGAGGAGGATGAGGGTGGCGGCGAGCACGAAGGTGATGGCGGCGGTGAGGGAGAAGACGGCGGTGGCGAGGAGGATGGCGGCGGCGAGGAGGACAGTGGCAGCGAGGGCAAAGGAGGTGGCGGTGAGGACGAAGGCAGTGGCGGCAAGGAGGATTGCAGCGACGGCGACGAGGACGACGGGGAATATGCAGGCTAAGCAACCTGTTCTCGGGCTGTTTGCTGCATGGGATGGCTCAGGCCATTGCGTGCTGCAGTGTAGGGTGCTATTACAGATGCATGCCGTTGATTCTACGGTTTATTACTAAATCAAGCATGGTCGCTATTTCTTTTGCAATTCAACTGCTGCTCAAAGGTCATTTTGAAAAATGGCCAATAATAGTCTATGCATATATTGTCATAGAGAATTACACAGTGAGCAGTGCCACAGAGAGGGAGAACTTCAAGAGGTTCATAGACTCGGTGTTGTGAGAGACCGTAGACTGCTGTCTCAGCCCCATGCAGCTGTCTTACTGACAGGCGATTAGACTGTTGCCCCAGACTCAGACACCAGTTTTACTGACAACCAATCAGACTGCCGTCTCAGAGTCTGACTGCAGTTTTACTGGCCGACCGTCGGAGTATTGTCCCTTACTCAGATAGCAGTCTTACTGACAACACGTGGGATTGCTGTCCCTGACTCAGACAACAGTCTTAGATACAGTGTTTTCAGCGAATCAGCGGACCTGCACCGACTCATCTGGAGGCTGAACCGTCTCTATGTGGTTTTTGGCCAGAGCGCCACCAGATACCAAATCAGGGATTCGAAGTAAAGAAAGGGAAAGGTTATAGATGCCCCCCACAACAAAAGGTTTGTGCTCGTTTGCCCCTGGACCGTGGCAAAAGCTCCTACAGGCCCCAAAAAGCTGGTGGCAAAAGTTATGGACTCCCCCCCTCCCCGGCGCCTCAAGCCTTTACGGGCTCTGGCACTTGCGGGGGGCAAACGAGTAACAAACCATTCGTCGTGGGGGAGGGTCTATAACTTTTGCGAGTACTTTACTTCATGAAGGGCGGATGTCATTGACCATGCCTGTCTCTCTCGCAGGATACACACTATTACACAGCACACAGAGATAGAGTTACCTCTTGCCTGCGTCTGTAAGAGACGAACAAAAAGAAAAATAAAACAAAAAGGATCATTGACACTTCAGATTTTATGCAAGTGATGTATGACTATCATGGTGATGATGATGATCATCACCATGATCATAATGATGATCAGTACTGCTCGTTAGCATGATCACGAGTCATCTTCATCATCTTCATCATCTTCATCATCTTCATCATCTTCATCATCCTAATGAAAATCACTTCTCCAACGTGTGTGCTGATGAGAAGAAAGCAAACCTCCTCTGATATGTATTTTCACTGAATCACATGGGAAGCTTGACATGTCATGGACCTCAGCTGATCTGCGAAATGCACTGCACACAGTTACAGTAGCCACTGTCGATGAATGGAAAGGGAACAAAATAAAAAAAAATGAACAAATTGTCGGACATTGTTCGACCATAGTTCGTCGACGTTTTTCAACGTTACACCGCCGCTGTGATGATTGACTCTAATAGTCACGGACATGGATGAGATGGACAAGTAATGCAGAGGGTGAAAAAAGAAGATGAAGTAGACCTGATTCAGAAGGACATGGATGAGATGGGCGAGTGATGCAGAGGCTGGACAGACGGAGGAGAGATGGATGAGAAATGAATGTGTGTGTGTGTGTGTGTGTGTGTGTGTGTGTGTGTG